ATAGGATCAACATGCCAAAGCCTATCCAGACCTGGCTTAAACGCATCTACCCACTCCTTTCTTAAACTCTCCGGTAGATTCCAGCCCAGCTCTTCGTCCCGAAGCCTCATACGCACCAGATGCCTCTTTTCCCCAACCCCATCCCCATTCTTGAAGCTATCACGTTTATGCAGAACGAAGAGGTTATTGATGAAGTGAATATCACCTGGCTTCGTTTCAATCTCCAACTGAACCTTTGTAGCTGCGCGTTCAACATCTTCAAGCGCTTTTAGCTGTTTCATGGAAACACGAGGTAGATGGGCTTGACGCGGATGGATCGCGTTGCCGATTAGTGGGACTCGACCGAAGTTGATCATGATCCTATTGCGATGGTGGAAGAAGATCGGTCTGGGATATCCTTCTTGGCTACAGGGCTGTCATTAAGGATTTTCAGAAGACGGCTGCAGCTATTCTTACTTTGCAAAAACCCATTTCGGCTGAGAAAGCTGGCGGATAGATGCGGGGTGGTGTCGATTCAGGATATTATATACCGCATATCCTGAAGCGATAATGCATCTACCGCCTGAAGCTGCGGTACTCCGAGTCAGCCAACTCACAATGTCTCCGGATTCCTCGTTATGGAACGTCTGAGAGCTCAATTATCAGCCGTAGTCTTAACTTAAAGAGTCATGCTTACGATTTCCGATGTCGAGTGCCGATGATGCTGACTAGAAATTGGAGAAGAGTTATCGGCCACGATATGGACTGTAGTCACAATGAGTCATAATTTTGGCATTCCACTCCATTGTATTGTCTTACCCAGCATGTTTCCCTTCTCGTCCTGCCGACCTCGACGGTTAGCGATGTAAGACTGAATACCGAGGTACATCATAGTCAAGTCCTCAGTAGAATAGCTCAAGGGGTTGAGTCCTCGAACCAGTCCGAACCCCTTTCCTTCATAAACATTGAGCCGCATAAGCTCAAGCTTTTTCCCTACTGTTGGAAGCGGAAAGTTTTGGCGGCAGATCAAGTCGCCATCTAGCTCAAGGCCTACTAAATCAGATTCTGCTTGCTGTAGGATTTATAGGGAACTTGCCTTTGAAGTACAAAAGAGCGTTTTCCACTTCTTCGATTTCAGAAGAGTTGAGATGGTATACATATTCGGATTCATCAGAGAACTGATTGCCTTGCCAGGCACCGGGGAGGTCGATCGATTGAGGAAAGGATCTGGTTCCATAGCACAATTCCATCAAGTTGGAAACAGCAGGGGCCATGTTTGTTCGTAAGAAGCGAAAGAGAATTTATTGACGGTGAAGATAAAGACAGCTGGGTGAATTCCCAATATATAAGATTGTCTGTAGAGATTATAGGTCAGGGCTTCGCAAGCAACGAGCAGGCGCTCTATATAAGGTCTGTCAAATTACTTCTTTTCCTGTTTCTGTTTTAACACTATAGCCGAAGATGCATGACAAGGCGACAATCTCAGTGAGAGAAAAAAGGAGATGATTCATCATCATGCATCTGAGCCAATAGTAGTGGCATCAACCCCTCCCCTTAGTCCATGTTCTTGACGAGATGGGGAAGAAAAGGACAGGTCAGAACATGAGCCACGGTCCTCCATATTCAATACCCTGTTGCGCTAATGACTTTCTTTTCTTATTACCAAGGCCACCTCTGCGATAAAACCTTGACGTTGCGTGGATCTGATCGTAATACTCGCATCATCTCATCGTCGGGCGTAATGCGCAACTTGCATCCTGAGATAGATCTCCGCAACTTGCTGGGGTTACACAATTCAGACAAGGGATGCCATTGAGTGTTTTTACCTCTCGAGGTTAAGCCGTCTAGCGATTTGAGTGGTTAGGGGATACCGCTAGCCATAATTTCAGTGCAGGACGGACAAGGGTGTCTTGATCACAAAATGCATAAGAGAGTGACTCTACCTTCCAAGCGGTGTGAGAAACGGAGAACTGAGACAATATATAAAAAGAAAATCTAAAGTGTTACGCGTCATTATTCGTTCAGCCGTTAATGCTGGCGAAAATCCGGCCTCATGCCCTGGGAATTGGTCATTATCTAGTCATTGTCACATCATAGCGCCTGAGGGCTGAAATGGATACTTAGATGTGTATACACTACCGGGAGACTAGTATTACTGACGCATGCAGGCTAGCACTTTAAGGATCGAGACTAGGCTTCTTGCTGTGTATATGTGGGAGCAGTATGAGGGATCCGTCTCGTAGCGGAAGTCCAAATATGGCTGAGGTAAACGCTACAGCAATGACCTGTTTTTCGATATCAACGCTACACCTCAGCTCTCTCATCCCATCAAAAACAAAAAAAAGTAGGGCTTAAAAAAGAATAGGGCAATACGCGCAAGTATGAGACTCAACGTCTTCAGGTTGGCCGACGTCGCTGACGAGTATCAGCCTTGGCAGAATCGTAATCTCACGACCCCATAAATGTAAGATAATTAGCCCCAACGTCTGACCACTTTTCCTTGGCCTTTTAGCTTACATCCTCGCGTGTGAGTGCCGTGATGTTTTGGCGAGCCAGTATGCAGCCAAGTCTTAATTTTTCCACTTTGCTGAACTTCTATGAGTCAATCTCACAGGAGATGCTAGTTGGCGCGAGCAATCATTTAGAGTGTATGCTTAATTCCTTAATCGAATTAGCGCATCACTTAAGGATAACAGAGATAGACACGTTTACCTGTATGGCTAGCCAGTATATCTACAGTTGACGGTGATTAGCGCGTCAAACACCGCCGCCATGGATAGGGATATGAACCTCGGACGAAAACAAGGAGAGCCCTGCTTGTTAGCTAACTTCTTTTCCAGGATACCCACCGTTATACGATCTTATCTCCCGATACCTGTATCATACCAGGCCAATGCTTTTCCCTTAGATGCCACGTCGCATTCGTGTACAAGATCTTGCCTATCTTGAAACTAAGCTCACCATACTCCCAAACGCACTTGTCTTACACGAAACTAACCATTGAACCTAAGTGGCCTTCAACTCAGTGAGGCTCTTCCTCTGGCCAAAGTCAAACCTGAAACATGAACCGGAAACATTCCCGATTTGCCAAGAACGGCATATCGCGCTACTCCGGATAATCGGCCTTCTACGCTCCACCTGTCAACCCAGGGGCCACGTCCCCCACATAATTCGTCCCAATTGCAGAGAGAAGAATCCGCGTACAGACGGTGACGTTTGGAAAATGGGGTTTCAAGACCCCTTCTCATTTAAGTCGGTCCGTGTTGACAGTCTCGGCGCTTTTCGCAATTGGAGGATAATCATGCTCCGTAGAATACACAGAGAATAGGGTGGTTTCTGGAAGCATAGAAGTTCGGATATAACGGGTAATCGCTTGACTGGGCATTCAAGATTCGGGGAATATATAAGCATATAGGCAGCACGGAACAAGAAGAAAAGCGGCTCACACACAAGATCATCACATTCCTTTTGCCGGCCAAAGGTTACTCTTCCATTAAGTACATTCGTTTATTTCGTCACTCATTACATACATACTTCTCTCTCTTCAACTCAAAATGACCAAACTCGGCTTCGCTCTCCTCGCTGCCCTGGCCGGCAGCGCCATCGCCGTCCCCGCCCCAGCGGTCACCCAAGCCCCCGACGTGCACGCCTACGCCAAGCGCGCCACATCCTGTACATTCTCCGGCTCCGACGGCGCCTCCAAGGCCAGCAAGTCGCAAGCCGCGTGCGCCACCATCGTCCTCAACAACGTTGCTGTCCCCAGCGGCGAGACCCTGGATCTCAGCAAGCTCAAGGACAACACCAAGGTCATCTTCAAGGGAACCACTACCTGGGGTTACAAGGAGTGGAAGGGGCCTCTTATGAAGATCTCTGGAAATAAGATCACTGTTGAGGGCTCTGGTGCTGTGCTTAATGCTGGTGGTGAGAAGTACTGGGATGGAAACGGAGGAAACAGTGGAAAAACAAAGCCCAAGTTCTTTGCGGCTCATAAGCTTACTGACTCCAAGATTAACAATCTTTATGTCAAGAACACTCCTGTTCAGGCTGTGAGCATCAATGGTGTTAATGGTCTTACTATTAACCAGTTCACTCTTGACAACAAGGACGGTGACAGCAAGGGCGGTCACAACACCGATGCTTTTGATATCGGTTCTTCCACCGGTGTTACCATCACCGGCGCCAAGGTTTACAACCAGGACGACTGTGTTGCCGTCAACTCCGGAAAGGTCAGTAACTCCTAAACCTCTCTGAGAACAACCCACTGACTTCAACAGAACATCATCTTCCAGAACGGTTACTGCCACGGCGGTCACGGTCTCTCCATCGGCAGTGTCGGCGGCCGCGACGACAACATCGTCGACAACGTGCAGTTCCTCAACTCCGAGGTCGTCAACTCCGCCAACGGCATCCGCGTCAAGACCATGAAGAACACCACCGGCAAGGTCAACAAGGTCACCTACTCCGACATCACCCTCTCCGGCATCACCAAGTACGGAATCCTCATTGAGCAGAACTACGACGGCGGTGATCTCCACGGCGAGCCCACCAGCGGTCTTCCCATCACCGGCCTCACCCTTAAGAACATCAAGGGCAAGAACGGTGTTTCTTCCAGCGGCAAGAATGCTGCTATTGTTTGTGGAAGCTCGGGCTGCAAGAACTGGACTTGGCAGAATGTTCAGGTCACTGGTGGTAAGAAGTATGATAGCTGCAAGAACGTTCCCAGCGTCGCTTCTTGCTAAATCATGACTTTTTGAGTCATTGGTCGGTTGCATTTGGTCTGCTCATTCTGTGAGTGAGTCTGGTCTTGAAATCATCTGGAACCTCATTAATCTTCAAACGACGTCGGCACTTGGTAGTCTGATGGCGTTGACACTTGATCTTTGTGTACATATATAGCACTAAACTTTTAAAAAATGTATTCATCAACTATGATACGTAGCCCTTTGCTCTAAGACGCCTTGTGAAACCGAAAAAAGAGAAAAAGAGTGCAACAAGCAAAGGACAACTCTAAGCCAGATTCTTTAACCGATGTTCCAGTAGTAAAAACTAAACATCCCTCTGACTCGTCTCGCCCGAGGTGATCGCTCTCTGGATGACTGCAAAATCTGTGGTGTTGATAGGAATACTTGCGTCATCCTGCCTATAAGCCTGCCACGAGGACGGGGACCACTGTTGGAATCGGGGAATGGTCTCAGCGAATCGAGGACGTCAGGGGGGTATGCGATTGGGCGGTGGATCGCGCCAGGAAGATACTGCGCACTGAATCGTGAATAGCCAATGGCTTGGATGATGTGGGGGATATCTTCGGCATCATAGTCGAATTCCGTGATAGGCCGCGATGCAGAACCTATGGGGTCGTTCATTTTGCTAGAGATACGGAGAATTGGGATGCTGTGACGATGCTGGGACTGATGATGGTGGTGATGATGAAAGGGAGAAAAGAATCCAGGCGTAGATAACGTAGGAAGGAAGAGAGGCACTTGTAGTCAAAGCAGGAGAGATCGTGGTGGCACTTCCCCTTGGGTTTGTCTATCCAAGATTTAGCCGAGTTACATAGACTACTTTATGATTCACTTGGGTAATTTCTAAAAGTCTTAATAAATGTAGAATAATACTAATAATTTAGAATAATGTTAATAAATTAAACTTCTAAGAGTTTCCCTGATCAGAGAAAGGGCACCGTTCGTCTATCCCGAGGTGCCGTGCTTCTCTACTTTATCTGCAGCCTTGCCTCCTAACGTCTCCTCACCCGCAGTGATGGTTGCCAACTCATAAAAGCCAAAGAACACAAATCTTATTGCTCTATTCTTCTATAAATCACCCGGAAGAATCTCCGTAATATTACTCTTCGCCAACTCCTTCGTCGCATCCAAAACCTCCACCATCCTCCCTCTCGCCTCGACATTCTTCTCATTCTCCATATCAGCCATCCCCATGTGCTCCAACGTCACACAGATCAACGACTCCATAAGCCGCTGCGCAAGTTCCCCCGCGTAACCTTGTTCGTAGAAAGCCGGTGTTTCATTGACTTCCAACAACCACGCCGTCCCCTTGGAATCGATCAAGAAGTCAATGGCGAAGAGCTCGAAGCACTTATCCAGCGGTGTGAACTTATCAGCCATTGTGTGAGCGGCTGCACGAAGTAACTCTCCTGAGATTTGACAAGCTTGATCAAAGACGCTTTTCTTCCAGTCACCAGGAAGTAGATCATCCTCGATCTTCCAAAAGTCTCGCATGGATTCTTTACTGGTGAACTCCTCTTCATCTTGGAGAGCGGTGTTGGTCAACGATGATTTGAGACTTGGATTCTTCCATGGGGGCTCATAGTCGTCTAGAGCTAGTAAGGCGAGCATTTCGTTAAAGACGTGGACTTTAAGACGACCGACGGAGAGAACGTAGGCTCTAACGTGCCACTTTCGGCCGTCGATGGGTGGAATGTTGACGATGTATTGCTGGGCGACGAACTCTCGAAGAAGGGCTGATGGGATGCGCTCGTTCTCATCGATGACCAGATCTTGTATCTTGTTTGTTCCTTGGACGGAGAGCTTTCCAGTTGCTGTGATCAGGGCATCTAGCGAATCAAGTCCAGGTGCCGATAGACTTGGTTTGAAACCCTCAGCGCTGTCGTCACTTTCGAATTTAGTATCCGGCGTTTCAGCGTCTTCTTCGCTCTCTTCATCCTCCTCGGAAATATCGGCAGCTAGTTCAAGATTACCCGCTAACTCGTCAATGGTACTGAATATTCGAATACCATGACCGCAATCAATCATGGCAGGTTTAAGAATCCACCAATCTCGTTCCGATGATTCCTTTGCTTCGTTATCTTCAAGCGAGTACAGTAGAGTTAAATCATCAGCTGCAGCCAACGCATCCTCGACATACTCGCTATAGTCGAGGGATAACTTCACAGTCGCAGGGCTATGACCTTTGAGCACACTTTCTGGCCTTTTGGTAATCCAGTAATCGATGACACTTGCCATGTGGTCTTTTCGAGCCAATGCATCGCTGTTGGGGTACGCGTTGAGGAGTCCATGTTTGGCTCTGTTCAGTACAGCAAAGTGATGGTTCAGCTCCCATCCATTAAGAAGCTGATACACAGTGTCGGCATCTTCTGGAATATCGGTGAAATTCTTATGGCAGATAGCGTCCGGTACGTGTCGTTTGATGCATTCTTGTACATGGCCGTCCAGCCAGGGATTGGCGCTATGAACGTATACGTGCATTTTCAGACTGGAATTGGCTGGCTTCTCAGCAAGTGGTGTAACCTTCTTCTGGAGGGAGAGCAGCTTGACGAGGGATTGGGAGTCGAGTAAGTCTCGATTCCATAGAGTCGGTAAGAATTCTTCTGCAAAATATCATCAAGTACGTACTTGACTAGATGCGAGGGCTCAGTTTCTAAAACAAGACCAGAGCCAAGAGGTGACAGTCAGCCTTTTAAACATGATGCTCACGGTCCTTTTGAAGAAAATATTTTAATCGATATTGCCAAGAAGACAATTCATGGTATTTACTAAAGTGATCCACTCATTTAGACATTTTCTTGAAGTTTTATTGGGCGTTGCGTTGTTAAACGTAAGCAACATCATGAAGTTCATGATATTTTTCAAAATGCATGATCGGCGTTGAGCTCACCGTTTCTTGCCAGGGGTCATGCCAGGGCCCAAATCGAGATCACTGAAAGCTTTAATATGATTATCCTGGCTCATTTGGCCTACTAGTCAAATGGAAAACTTTTTTCATGTGCGCTCATGAGTTGTTTGTCATGTTCTTGGTGACGTGATTTGAAAGGCTGATTCTTGGCACTCATGTTTAGGTCTATTTATTTTTTTCAAGTCTAAATAACCTCTCCCCTCTCGACCCTTAGTCTATTGAAAGTTTCTTTTGTCAATTTGTGACGGAATGACCAGATCTAGTTCTTATCCAAGGCCGTGATTCTACAGGACATCGAACTCGTGATGACAGCCTGCTACTTCTAAAACCAACCCTTAACAAAGGAAATATCCCATTTAACTCAAGTCGCTTGATTCCAATTCTTTTCGACGCCTCATTTTCTCTTATCAAAACATCTTTAGATGAGCTTCTCTTTCCCGATCAATTGGAAATTGTCGTCGCATCGATGCTCGAAATGTTGGCCTGCAATCATTTCTTGTGCCCGATAATCTGAACAGAGCCTCGTGGTAGCCGTCAAGGTCTCCCGTATCCTCGGAATGGGAGCTTTCAGACTCGTCGTCTTCCAGATCCAGAAATTGCTTCTGAGCTCCAGGCGTTGTAGAAGCCTCGACAACAGCGCATGGCTGTCTAGGCTTCGATATTCCGCACACTTCGTCGTCTCTCTCCCTCTCCTCAAAGGGCGGTTCCCTTCGATTGGGAAGCTTAGAAAGCCAATTTTGGACTTTTCCTTGCGGCTTCTGTTGGCTGGGTTCTGGTACTTCAGGTTGATCGTTGATATTTCTCTGGAAATAGCTTCCAGAGTTCTCTAGCGGTTTCGTCATGACATATGATGTTGAAAACATGCGCAGTGTAGGCGCTACATCACTGAATGGCGAGTCGATGTGACCAGGAGTCGTAGGCGTCCGCGATGAACTCAGTGAAAAGCTTTGCTTATGGTAAGACCGAGAAGCATCGTCGGCGCATTCGTGGAGTGTGAATAATTGTCTGTTGTACCCAGGCTCAATAGTGGTGACGATATGAGGTAGTGGCCGCTTGTTGCGCAAGGACGATATGCGCCGAGGAAATTTTACAGGCGCTGGCATGTCCTCGCTAGAAGGAGAGTAAAAGTTCTGATTTCTCATTGTGATAGTATAAAGAATGACGATATTTGTCGTGGAATAACTATAGATCCTCCTAAGGCTTAAGTATCTGGATGACGTTTCGGAATGCCCATCATGAATTATGTTAAAACGCTTGTTCCAGTACCTCGGCCGCAATTACAGTTGGCACAATACGAAGCCGAGCGACTACTACCGGGCTGAGCTAGCCTTAGTGAAACCACTTTTGCTATCAAAGCGCGGATAGTGACATGTTAGGGAAATTTTAGCGCACCCTGATATGTCAATTTACGCTGCATAAACGCCACGCTACCACTAAGCTCAGCGCAAGTGCCTGTTTTGTGATCTGTGAGCCGTCCCAGAACCGCGGATTGTTTCACCTCGTGACCACGATACGCGGGTTCTATTAATAAGGAGAGAAAGGCTGGACTAATTTGAGTTACCTTGACGATTAAATCGCGGCAAATGCGTCCATTTATGACTTGCGGATACTTATTAACCTAGATCATTTCATTGGGCCAGTAGTTTATACAAAAGAACGATCAAACGGTGACGTTTTGATGTTTATTGACTATATTTATCGTTTCTCGAACGTCCTTGTATTTCACTTTCCTATACTTGAAAGTATCAATTATCACACTGCAGTCATCTATGCTACATCCTTTCAATAGCGGAACTCGATCCTCGGGACAGGCATGTAAATGTTGCCAATTTTCAGTCAATTTTATCCCACATTTTCATCACGTTGACACTCTCATAGAGTTAAATCCACGAGCGTCGCACTCGGTTCCGGTTACCCCCGTGGAACACGATACAAAGTCTATTGCAAGCTTGGCCGTGTCTCCGGGCGATCTCGACAACTGTAGCAGGGGAATCCTTGCCGGGGAATGGAGGTTTCTTTCCCCCCCGGTAGAGACTACGTCAACTCGATATGACATTCACAAGTCGAGTCAGAATCGAATGACTTTTGCGTCGATGCTTGCTCGGATGGTTTATTTCATGAGATATCTATAGAGATACTTACTGCCGAAGGTTAAACTTTAGGCTGCGAATACAAATGATGTGATCGCGATACTCCCTTTCTGCATGGAAGTGTAACAAAGGTTGCAATAAATTTAGATAGATGGGAATACTTACCATGTCATCCGAATGATTCACACGTAACTACCGGTCTATTTGTGTCCTCGTGTTTTGATCTGTGTTCAACCCACATCCCGAAATGCCGCCTAGAACATCCACGCTTGACCCATCAAGTACTAGCTACCGAGCTATCACAAATCATTATCCCCCTGATCTGCCTACTGATAGATCTGCATGCCGCGGCATACTCTTAATGACTACCAAGGCTTGTTGTTATGCCGATTGGGTAGGCTATGGGATGGCAATACCGGGTGCACAGGGACCCGAGATTCACCGTTTATCATGTAGCACGGACGGCAAAACGTCAGTCACGAACAACGGATGATTGGCTAGAGTTTACTTGCTAAACAAGGTCTGGGTGGTGGCTTGGTTCTAGACTGTTCGCGTAACGTTCTGTTGTTATTCTGTAGAATGGTGTGCAGCGCTGGAAAGGGGAAGGGAAGAATGGAGGAAGCTTGAACAGGCTCAGTCATGAGTAGTCAATCTTCAGGTCGGTAGCAGTGGCAGCTTTTATGATGTTCCAAGCAAGTTTTGTCTATTAGTAAGGTCTTTCTAAGTAATACAGACATATGTTTCGCTCAAGTCAAAATAAGTAGTCGCTCCTTTTTAATGCGCATGACCTCATTCGTGAGATCTCGAAGATGCTACCACGCTAATACTTTTACGGGCTTCCTTTTCCAAGCCTCTAGGGTACCGTCGTCGCATCGACGGCCGGAACTTGCGGTCGGCTTCTGTATCGAAAGGTGAAGATGTGTCGATTTGCAGAAGGGTCAAGTGGTAAGCATCGAGGCTCGTTGTTGGGTCCGTCGTGTCATATAGTTCAGGCCTTCCGTAGTCTACATATCCGCGTGTTGGACTTGTAGGTTGGATGCCCTCATAGCATGTGTCTAAAAAGTCCAGGTAATTTAAAAGACCCTGGGTTCCAGGAATAGACTCTCTTGATCGTTCAGTATCAACCGTTGATGAAGATTCGTCCTCGGTGGTATCGTGGAGGGCCTACGGTGCGCATTAGCTTGATCCTGCAAGATACTTGATAGGATGATAAGCTTACATCAACATAGCTCACGTCCAGCCATGGAATATCAGGGAGTTCCGAGAGCCAACGATGCACCCGCTGATCAAGGCTGTCGTAATCATTTGGAAAGGTTCCAGTGATGTCATCTGGTAAAATGGAACGGAGCTTCTCATCGTTCGTTGAAATGACAGATGAAGGAGAACAGATATAGAGCTGTGACTTCTCATCACTGGCTAACGTGTTATCGGAAATAGGGTGATATGAAGACGTTGACAGAGTTTCCCAAGAGAATCTACGTCGTTCGAGAGTCGCCGAATCCTTCCGGAGAGTTCCCTGTACAGTGAATGGCTGAAGGTCGAATTGGATGTCGTCTAACGCGTCAAAGGCACTGTTGATGGTTGCATCCGTTTCCAGAGGGGTCGGTTGGTACGATGTCTGGTCAAATGTCCGAGGGATTGAGTTAAGAACGGACTGGCCTGACATTGTTGAAAGCATTGGAGTGCTTGGTTGATCGATGGTGAACTGAACTTGCTGCATTCTAGAGCTCTATCTCTTGGTTTCTTGCGGATAATAAATAAAAGCTTCTGCCGTCTCGTAGCTTAATGATGCCCAACTACATGGCCTCTGTAATGGTCATAGCATCAATACGACCTACTGTATTTCGTTCCGAGCTAAAATCTGAAACATGTCGGAGATTGTCGACATCGAACTCACGCTCTGTCGACAAGCTTCCTCATGTGTCATCCTTGAGCTAAAACTGGCCCGTTCTTGGAAATGGTCGCGAGATGGTAACCCCATCGGTCCACCACTAACCAGATAAGCGATGGAAAATCAGCCGATTATTTCGTACGCGAAGAACACGAGAGATATAAAGCCACAAAGTTTATTGCTTTCTTATTACCTGACATATTACTAACCTCACCGGATTTGAGACGTGTTTGCGTCATTAAATGGCGGGTCTAATTGGATGTCGAAGTTGACGTGGTATCCCGCTATGCCGCGATGAGAAGGTCGCGTGCTGGTATTGATGTGCCGTGGTCCAAACTCTATTTAGCACCGCGTATAAGACACCGAGCGTCCTGGGATCTTCCCAGTTGCTTTAGCCTTTGGAGCTCGTGCCATCGTTCTCGCAACTTCTTAATACAGTGAAGGATTTCCTTGGCGTATCATGATTTTGCCCGCACGATGAGCAAGTTCTCAACACAATGACAGGAATGGAAAGTCATCTCATAGCCGACCACCAAGTCTGCCTTGCACAACTACCATTGACTGTTAACCATATGTCATGACTTCTCCATCGTTCCAGACCACCTCAGAAGTGTGACTAAAAGATACGACTTGTCCGTCTCCTTGTTCGGTAAAATTGGAGTTACCGGGAGTGCAGCGGTACTGAAACACTTACAGCTTGGCTTTCTGGGGAAGCTCTGCGTTGACTCACCGGAACTTCCGGCCCGTTCCGTAGATCACAACAATTCGAGGTTTGTACCAATAGACGTTGGGTTACCCCGTACTAGTCGGCTCATTCCGGATGATCAGGCACTGGCATGTTTCATTTCAATTATGAGCAAGTAAAACGCACGTACTTATTCCATCTTAACCTCTCACCGAGGCAAGCCGTCGGTCCGATAAGAAGGAAAACAGTTTGACTGGCCGAGATGTCATGATTGATGGTCATGCCACAGAACTCAGCCCAGCGCTGTGAGCGGACTGCACATAGTCGCTGCAGGAATTTAGTATCCCTCGCTAGCGGGAATTACGAGCCAAATTTATGGACAGGGAGCTCTGTTATATGTAGCCTTGGGTGATAAACGAGACGTGCATAATGGTGGAACCCATAAAGTGATCGGCAGCATCGCCCGAAGATGAGATCGAGAATACCCACAGCGGCAAGGTCGCTCAGGGGAGCGATCAGAGCGCTAATCAGGTGGAGATAATGACAATGCCTTAGGTCGTGGAGTAGATGATACTCCTTCCGGTTATCTATGCACATAACTTTACTTCGAGAAGCTGAACCCAAGCGCTTGAGACTTTCCGATGTCGGTTACAGTTTTTGTTCCATAATCTCCATTCTGTTCCTGACATCGGACATCGATACAGCGTATGGCCTTCTAGAAACACCTGACGACCTAGCCCAAGCCTCAACCTCTTTATCCCGCACCGCACTCGCCTCCTCCACGACCGCACGCGTTTCAGTCGACACGACCTGGGCGATAGCCTGCCAAGCGTTGCCCAGACCAGAAGCCCTTGTCTTGAGTTGAAACAGCACCATCGTGCTGCAAACTAGCAGTAGGTGGACCAAGATCAGGCTCAGAACCACGACCAGCCCTGTCCACCGCACTGAGATGAGCATCTCGACTGAGCTTATGGTGGTGACTGGCTTGTACAGGTCAAACTCTGCTATACTGTCGTAGAAGATCATGGAGTGAAACCTAAAGGCAAGGGCCTGTATGGCTAATGCAGGGTCGCCCGTGACTCGAAGGATGTCTTGGATAAGAGAGACATGCACAGCGTGCGCGGCCCACCAAGCGATCCAGTCCTCCTCATAGAGATCCTTGTAATTTGTCATTGCCCAGCCTCCTTGGGGCGAGTACCCCAACAGCGCTTGGATAAGAGCAAAGTTTCTTGGCTCCGTCATTGACTTTGAGTATTTCGAGTTATGCACTCCTACCTTAAGCTGCATAATATGTCGATCTCTGTAGTCCTTATAGGAAACTCCAATGCCAAGCTGTTCCTGCAGTTGCGCACTACTCTTCGAAGTGCCGTTCCTCTGCCACTCGACTATCGGCTCAGATGGGATAGTCATCCCAATCATGGTAATTTCGTACAGCTCTGGTGCGTTATCCGCGACAAAACACAGCGTCGCACTGAGCACTTGCGTGCCATTCTTCAACGAAGCTGTCGTCCAACGGCCGTCCATATTTGTCTTTAGTCCTTTCAGTTGATCAATCTTATCCATCGCCTCGCTCTCGTCAGTCTCGCCACCTAGGTCCAGGTGCCCAAATCCACGCAGCAGGATTGGGCTGGACTTGGGAAGCATCAGGGGGATAAAAGTGAAGTTCCGGCCTGAAAGGGGATCTTGAAGTCCGAGATCCCCACGGGGACCAGCATGGAAATTGTTAGCGAGTGAGAGTGGCAAGGTAGCTCTGTCGCTTTCATTCCACTTCGTTGGAAGCTGGGCATAAAACGTGAATCTACTATCTGACCAATTCTTGAGAAATTCCGGGCCATTTTTCGTTGATCTGATATCGAGCTCTGTCTGAAGGCCCGATTTGCTTGCAGTAAGACCGAAGCGAATCCTTTCAAGGCTGGGACTGAAACAGACTGTTCTGAAGTTGCCCACCAGTCCTGGCCCAGAGTAGTGCTCTAGCGTTGTTCTAGACTCCTCCTTCATGTAGGGCAGAAGAACACGGTATGTATTCCCGGTGTCGGCAATCTCGGCAGTCGATGCAACATTGCCGGATTTCATCTCGCCGAATCGCCAGTTCGCAGAGGGACTAGACCTGTAGTGGAGAACACCATTCGCAGACAAGGTAGTATTCGGTCCGAGTCCAATTGGAAGAAGCTTTGTCTGCATCGGTCCAGCTATATTGACGTTCTTTAAGTCTGTGAGCAGTATGGTAGACGTAAAGGTCGAAGCGACTAGGATAATTGTCCCCAGAATCATGATCGAAGCGTGCAGCACACCGAATATACCGAGTCTAGTAAGTCGTAATGAAGCAGGAAGGATTGTGTAAGGACTCGAACCCGATGCTCGCTGGATTGAAACTGCTGCGATGTCACAAAACCTGGTGCCAGTAGTCTCAAGCATTAGCGCAGCGACAGCTGCTGCTACAAGGCTAATGTGAAGGCCTATCGATACACGAATGGCGGCGGAGCAGATGGTGATGACCTTGGTAGCCATGTCACGAAAGACTATGGTTTTCCAAAACTTGGCTGGCTCGCCGCGATCCCGGGCTGTTTGTGCTCCTTTCCAAAGAAACACCAGTATGGCGCATGAGGCCAAAATTACCAGTGTACCAGCCAGCAGTGTGACGAGACCTAAGAGTCCTATCTTGTGCCACCAGCGATGTTTTGGGTATTTGTTCCATGGTATTGGGCCTGGTGGTTGCGATTTCCCTGAGACATTCTCCTCATGAGCGGTTTTCAATAATGCTGGTTCAAAATCTGTATCGGCGCGGGGCAGTGATACAGCATCATCCTCCCTGAATGAGTCGTAACGACCAGGGGGCGGAGGAGTTGTTTCTTCTAATCGCATGTCCTGCTCTGGGCCTCCTGAAGGAAGATCAGTCGTATCAGTGGAGAGAATAGCTTCATACTGCGCCATGATGACTCTTGGTAAATGACACCATGTCAAGACACCAGAGTGCAGATAACGCGGCAACGCAGTGTGTTTTATCCCTCATCTCGATTGCATTTTCATAACACCCTACCAGACGTGATGGTGGCTGTATTTCATTATCTAAGACTTCTGATTAGACTGTCATTTGTGAAAAGCAAAAGACCCACCACTTGTAGAGTCTTGCACCCATTGATTGCTTGTTCTTGGCCATCAGGCTGTGAAGGATTCTGCAGAGTTGCGTCATCGGACCAATACGAGGCTGTTCTCTACGCCCGGTGATGAATCAGCCCGCCAACATTCTTTCAGCTCATGCAAGAGTACATCGCTTAGAGCTTTATTACTTTTCACTCGTTCCTATGGTGCATGCGCCATGCTTCTGCTCATGGCGTGTCCCCATCGCTGTGTTGGCGGCCAACCTCTATAGTAAAACATGGGATAAAATGAGAGGCAGTGCCCCAATAATACACCGGAACTTCATTTCTTATCTATTTGAAGATAACATGTGGGCGTGTCTCATTAGCCTAATAGAATCGCCTTCTCAATAGCCTCTCCCAATGTCTGCGTATTTCCATTACCACCAATATCCGCAGTCTTGACTTCCGCTCCCGAACTCGCCAGCACAGTCTCGATAGCCGTCATCATCCCCGCAGCGGCATCTGCATACCCGAAGTGCGACAACATCATCTGCCCCGCCCATATCATTCCGATAGGATTAGCAATCCCTTTGCCGTAGATATCCGGTGCACTTCCATGAACAGGCTCGAATAAACTAGGGAAATCGCCCGTTGGGTTGAGATTTGCTGACGGAGCAATGCCAATTGTTCCCGTGCACGCAGGGCCCAGATCAGATAGAATATCGCCAAAGAGGTTCGATCCAACAACAACGTCAAAGATCTGAGGCCGTTGGACAAAGTGCGCCGTCAAGATGTCGATGTGATACTTCTCAACCGCAACATCAAAGTAATTCTTACTCATCTCAGCCACGCGACTATCCCACCACGGCATAGTGATGCTGATGCCATTACTCTTGGTCGCACTCGCCAATTTCTTCCTAGGTCGACTCTGCGCAAGATCAAAGGCATAGCGAAGAACGCGATCCACTCCAACACGCGTCATGACCGTATCTTGAATCACAGTCTCTCTTTCCGTTCCTTCAAACATGATTCCTCCGACGCTGGAGTACTCTCCCTCCGTGTTCTCACGCACGATCCAGAAGTCGATGTCGCCGGGTTTGCGGCCTGCGAGGGGTGATGGAATACCGGGCATGAGGCGACATGGCCGCAAATTGATGTATTGGTCGAATTCACGGCGGAATTTGAGGAGACTGCCCCAGAGACTGATGTTATCGGGAACTTGGTCGGGCATGCCAACGGCGCCGAAGTAGATAGCGTCGAAGTGTTGAAGAGTATCCTTCCAGTCTTCAGGCATCATCTTGCCGTACTTTTCATAGTAGTCGCAGCTGGCGAAGTCGAACTCTTGGAATTCGAGTGAGATGTTGAACTTCTTGGCTGCGGCTTTGAGGCAACGGACGCCATACGGCATGACTTCTTTGCCGATGCCGTCGCCTGGGATGACGGCGATCTTGAGTGTTTTGGCCATTTTGAAAGGTTTGTGAATTCAGATTCCAGGTTCCAACTGGGAGAGATCGCTTGTCCTTGAGAGAAGATTATATCGTACTTATTTCTGGACTTGCAGTTCTTGTGTTCGACGGTTATACCAAACGCCGACGATGTCGGGATATAGAAAAGCCGATGATGAATCCCCGCTCTTCCACCGGCGGGGGTTTCTTTGTCCGCAGGCTGTTATCGGCGTCCAGACCCCGATAAGATCGGACTGAGTGCTATTTGGCCGACTGCCTGGGCGACTGAATCACGGAAACAGCAGAGAAAACACAAATCCGAGAAGTGAACTACTATGCCATCACTCCATCAATCACTATTCTAGCCTCTTGTTCGGCATGTTGATCGATATCATGCGGCAGAAGGTAAGCCCGCTAGTGATACGCGGCCGAGGTTTGGCAGCGCGCCTGTGAAATTATGACGGCATAGTCACTCTCCACAATTAATCATCACCAGAATACATTATTTAAGCAACTTGTCCACCAAAGGGCGTTGACGAGGCATAAACCCGGTAAACGGCGCATACAGCCTAGGCTCCTCAACCTCTTCTTACCCATATTATCTCTATCAGCTTCTCAAAATGTTTGACAACTTTGAACCTTTCGCAATCAAGACAAAGTCCAACCCAGACATCACCATCAACGGCTTGAAAAGCGGCGAGTCTTCCTCCAAACCCGCTCTTCTTCTCATCCATGGCTTCCCTCAAACACTACACATCTGGCATCGTGTTGCGCCTCGGGTTCTCGACAAATACAACGTTGTATTGATCGATATCCGAGGGTATGGAAAGTCCTCCAAGCCTGACGATGTAGCTTCGTATGCAAAGAGCGCCATGGCAAGAGACTGTATCGACGTCATGGATGCTCTCGGCCATACTGGGTCTTTCTTTGTCTGTGCTCATGATCGCGGTGCCAGAGTCGCGCATAAACTCGCCGTCGATTACCCTGATCGCATTCGCAAGTTCATACTACTCGACATCTGTCCTACACTGGCGATGTACACCAAGACGGATTTCGACTTTGCCAAAGCATACTTCCATTGGTTTTTTCTCATTCAAAAAGAACCTCTTCCCGAAACTCTTATCACCGCGAAGCCTAGAGAGTTAGCAGAGATGTTCATGGGCGGCCGCCAAGGCGATGGGTTATCCATCTTTGAGCCAGACTGTTTCGAGATCTATGCCAAGAATTTGGAAGATCCTGCAACGGTTCATGCCATGTGCAATGATTATCGCGCGAGCGCGACGGTCGATCTGGAGGAGGCGCGTGAGGATCTGAAGCAAGGCCGAAGGATTCAGAGCCCTCTGCTTGTCTTATGGGGAAAGCATGGGGTTATTGAGAAGTGCTTTGATGCTGTGAAGGAGTGGAAGGACGTTGCTGATCCTGGTGTGTTGGTCGAAGGTCGCAGTGTTGAGTCGGGACATTATGTTCCGGAGCAGGCGCCTGATGTCGTAGTCTCCGCGATTCTGGAATTCCTCAATTGAGTGCTGGAGAGAATGCGATCGAGAGGTTCAACGATAAGACATTTCTAGGAAATCAAGTACTTATATCCATTCGCGACGCGTCTCGTGATTGACTTTGTAGAGATAGCAAACGTCTTTTTGAGACGCGCTTTTTTTCGTTTCAAAAGACTGCACCAAAAAATGTTTGTCTGGCACCTGATAAGATGAGCGAAAGTCTAGATGCCAAAGAAGCATAAATCAAATAAGTTCAGCTAGACGTGACACGAGACTAGCGTTGATGATCTAGTGGAAGAGCAACGCGAAATGAAGCAACCAATATCAGAAGCCGTAGAGCCCCCGTGTTTCGGAAACCCATCTTTTGGGAACGGGTTGGCCGATCAGCCAAATTTATCGTTGCCAACAACGCTCAAAAACGTTGTCACTCTTTTGAGACGAGGGAGGGTAATGTGAAGGGCAACGGTCACTAATGCGATTTTTTACATTCCATTGATTTCGCAACGGATTCATCACAGATAAAAGGGTCAAAATTACGCGCATGCCTGAGAGCGGATAACAGGTAACAGAACGGAAATAGAGAGCGTGCATCACTGCCGTGTTTGGGAAGGCTTCAAGTTCCATGCATAAATTCAAGGTTTGGATTGAGTTGTCCGTTGCTGCCGAGTCAGAGGCTAGCCCATTGATGAAGAAAAAAGGCGAGCCAATTGGTGGCCGTGTCTAGGCTCTGACATCAAAGAGGCGTTGCTCATTCTGGGAATGGCCTCGTCGCAGTAATGAGGAGTTGTCTCTATAGGGTAGCTTTTTGCCTTCAGTTTGATATCGGTGATAACACATGGCGATCGAGGGAGAGAGGGATAATCGTTCATAATCCTTGCATCGTGATCAACCTCTACTTTCATCGAAAGCGTCTTTTTTCTTTTGACATCATTCACATCATTTTGCCTTCGATAAAAGTGTTGATCGTCGTTACGAAACTGCTGGTTGGCAACTTGGATTCTAGCTTTGACATCAGAACACACATCGCAATATGAGCCATCAATAAATTCACGATAGTCCGAAATGCTTTCCCATTTTGGAGTGGCGTTTCCAGTGATCCGAATCGAGAATTAAAAAGTAACTACAGCTATAATATCAACAGGCATCTTTGTGCTATCGTATCCCCGACGATCCTACGGCGATGGCGATATCCGCTAAACCTTCGAGAACAGGACTGATCACTGACCCTGCAGCTCACCTATGCAGATAAGGGTTAGACATATGCCAATCTCCTGCTAGAACGTCTTGTAATCGCCAACGGGGTGGATACGGTTGGCTGAGGATCCTCGCGAGGCCTACAAACGGGCATGCCGCTAAGGAGGATACATGCACCGGGGACGTCTCGATTAGCGGACCGTTGGTGTGGTTTTCTTCTCTTCTGCTTGCTGCACCCAATCTAGGGCTCGAGTCATGTCCCCGTGGTGTAAGGAACGGCCAAGACATGCGCGGGCAGGGCAGACACAGCTGAGGGATGGATCGCCGAGACGGAAGGCGTTTTCTGGGCGTCCAGGGCAGAAACGGGTGTTCCGGAAGATGCCTTCTTGGTATCTCGGTATACAACAGCTTGGCGCAGACTTGGCGAACGGGAAAAAGCTGCCGTGATGGTGTCGAGAGCTGGACACGAGATGGTGGCGATGGACATCACGAGCAGGAGAGTTGATATGCGACGTTAGGTTTAAGCTTAGAGATAAGTCTAGAGCTGAGCGCCAAAAAGGAAAATATTCATGAAACTAGTGACCTACAATTCTCTATACAGACACCGAATTCAAGACTCGGTTTACCAAAACGACATGGTCAGACACTCG